GTAGTAGTAGTAGTAGTAGTAGTAGTAGTAGTAGTAGTAGTAGTAGTAGTAGTAGTAGTAGTAGTAGTTAGTAGTAGTAGTAGTAGTAGTAGTAGTAGTAGTAGTAGTAGTAGTAGTAGTAGTGGTAGTAGTCGTAGTAGTAGTAGTAGTAGTGGTAGTAGTAGTAGTGGTAGTAGTATGCCCTGACCTCGGGGCCCCGTCGCTCGGCGTCCTTCTTCGACCCGCATCGGCCCGTGAGGGCCCCGGGGCCCGGCCACGGGCGCAAGCGCCCGGCAACGGGCGAAATCGACACGCCAGGACCTCCAGTCGACCCGCAGAGTAAGGATGCGCGAGAAGGATGCAGGGCCCCTGGGCGCCCATCTCGAAGCCTTTCGTGCGGGGCGCGGCCAGCGAACGTGTCCCAGGATGGACCCGGGAAGCAAGGATGCAAGGCTACCCTCGGGAGGGATGCCTGTCCTTACTCTGCGGGTCGACTGTATGGGTTCTGCAAGTCTCCGGGACAGGAGACCTCAGAATCGAATCGAGAAGTCGGATCGGCGATCGAAATGGATCGGATCGGCGGAAATCGGCAGCCGAGTCGGGAGAAGTCGAATCGGCAGAAATGGGCCGGCTAGCAGGCCTCCATCGAGGAATCGGAATCCAAATCGGAATCCGAAGTCGAGTCGAATCGGAATCGGAGGCCATCGGAATCGAATCGAATCGAATCGGAGGAATCGAAAGGAGCCCTGCCGGAACCATCCGGGGTCAGGAGCTTCCGTGGGGGCGCCCGCTGGCAGGGCGACTCCTCGCACGGCGCGCCTCCCGTGCAGAGGACCTCGGCCGCCCGCGGGCAGCCGACACCTCCCCGCGGCAGCGCGCTCCCTTCGTGCACGCCGGGGCGGGGCGCGGAGAGAGGCGGGGGCGTCGAGCCCTGAGATCCTGGCGCTTCAAATGTTTCGAGCCGGGCGTTTGCGCTGGTTTCCGGGCCCCGGGACCCTCACAGATCGGTCCGGGTGGAAAAATGGCTCGGGCACCAATGGGGTAGTGAGCTCCGGGCGCGATGTTTTTCCGATGCTGCAGCTTTTTCGCTACGCCGGATCCTCGGGAGGGGGACTCGCGGATCACGACCTGGGGCGTGTGGGCAGACGAGGAGGGAACCTCGGAGCGCACTGCGTACTTTGGCGGGCGAAGAGCGGTATTACATCAACCTCTCCGCCGTCGTGGACGACGGCGAAGAAGTTGATGTGAAGCCGTTCTTTGCCCCCTGAGTACTGCAAGAAGGGGAGGGTGCCATCAAGCCAAAGAAATCTCATGGCCCACGCCCTGATGTCCACACCCACCTGGGCATCACCCCTTTCTTGGACGACGCCGAGCGGAAGAATCCGCCCGCGGGCGTGCGAAGAGTGTGCCCGTGTGTGTGTGTGTGTGTGTGTGTGTGTGTGCCTTCTCCGCCCTCCCAGCCTAAGTACTCGAACATGCGACGGAGCTGCCGGTAGACGCCCTGCGTCAGGGTCAGGCGCATCTCGCAGACGTCCGACTGCTCGTCCACGCGAGTCACCTTCCCATTTCCTCCAGCCCTCTTGTTCCTCCACCGTCGTCTGCTTTTTCTCGTCGATGACGGTATCGGACCGGCGGCAGCGCAGGCTGACAACCGGTGCCGGTCCAATCGCAGTCGCCTGAAAACCGCGCGCGGAGGCCTGCGGCGCAGCGTGGTGGGGCGATGCGAGCCAGCCCCCGAGCGTATCAAAGCAACTGGGGCAGGGAGGGGGGAAGCTGAGGAGTGCTCCCACCTCCTGGGCGGCGGCAGCCTTTATGTCGCGGGTGCCCGTGGGCGCGCGCTGCCCCGCGCTGTGCTGCTGCTCCGGGCGCCTCCCCCAGGAGAGGACAGGAAGGAGTTCCTGATGCTTGGAGGAGGAGGAGGATGAGGAGGAGGAGGAGGAGGAGGAGGAGGAGGAGGAGGAGGAGGGGGAGGGGGAGGAGGAGGAGGAGCAGGAGGAGGGAAGCTGAGGAGTGCTCCCGAACACTTGGGACAGCGATCAAGCCAACCTGCCATTAGGCGAGCCGTTGCACGCATCCGGAACCTTTTTGTGAGCCTGGTAAACATGCAGATCTATAGAACTGAGCCCAAGCTCTATAAATGACCACGGAATCCGAACACCACATCTAACACAGAAGAAAAGAAAAAGGAGGCGGAAGAGGAGGAGGAGGAGGGGGAGGAGGAAGAGGAGGAGGAGGATGAGGAGGAGGAGGTGCAGGGAGAGAAAAGGGGGAGGAAGAATGACAAATCTAGAACCCAGGCGACTCCACCTTCAAAGCAGAAGCAACGTGGCCTCGAACAATTGTGCATGTGGACGCGGCACGAATTTCCCTCCACCGTAGTCCTCGCCCTCCTCCTCCTCGTCGAGCCGTGGGGCTGGGGCGTGTGCGTTCCGAGGTGCCTCCTGCGTGTCGGATGGCGTTCTCTCCTGCCGGTGTCCATTCTTGGGCGTTGCCGTGCTCGGTATGCGCGTGGCGTCGCTCTGGAAGTATTTGGGCCGCAAGCCCCAACCAGGCGAAGGACCCAACCGTATGTAGCTGCGAGCATCGCGAGGCGGACCAAAGGGATCAGGGGGCCTAGCAGGAAAATTGGGGCGTGGTTGGGGAGAAAAGCGGCTTCTTAGTTTGGCGACGGCCTCGCCAAGGAACTGGCTCTCGCGGGGTTTATCCGCGAGGCCTAACCCGAGGAACGGCCCGCCTGAATCTCGCCTTCTCCCGGCTGCCCAACTGTATGGGCTCGCGCCGCGGACGACCCGCTCGCGTCGCTGGAATCCTCTTGGGGCGACCAACGCGCGTCGCGGGGACCTCCCTGCGCTCTGCCTCCACGTGCTGCGCGGCACTCGCCCGCTTTGCCTGGCGCCTCGCCCTTTGTCTGCCACCCGTTTTTTGGGACCCCGCGCCGCAGACGACCCGCGCACGTCGCTCGAATTCCTTCGGGCGACCAGCGCGCGTCGCAAGGCTTTCGCGGGGTGTGGCGAACCGAATGCGGGTACACCGTGCGGACCCTACTGCGGGGGCCTTCGGTGGAGCTCGCTACGGGGCCACGCAATGCGTGAGGGTTGTGCCGAATCAGGTGCGGGTGCGCCATGCGGACCCTGGCGCTGGAACCTTCGGCGGGCCCTCCATTGTGAGGCCACGCAACGTGTGAGGGTTGTGCCGAATCAGGTGCGGGCGCGCCATGCGAACCCTGCCGATGGGGCCCTCGGTGGAACTCCATGTGGGGCTACGAAACGTGCGAGGGGGGCGCCGAATCGGGTGCGGGCACGCCATGCGGACGCTGCCGCTGGGGCCTTCGGTTGTGCTCCCTATGGGGCCACGACGTGTATGGGAAGTGCGCTGAATCGGGCGCGGGTGCGCCATGCGGACCCTGCCGATGACGCTTTCGGTGGAGCTACCTGTGGGTGCCGTGTGAGGGGTGTGTCGAATCGGGCAAAAAAAGGCACACCATGCGGACTCTGTCGTTCGGGTCGTCGGTGGAATTCCCTATGGGGCCACGAAGCGTGAGGGGTGTGCCGAGTCGTGTGCGGGTAAGTCAAGAAGACCCTGTCGCTGGGTTGACCCTTCCGATGGGGTCTTTGGTGGATCTCCAAACTTGCTAGGGGTGTATCGAAGTGGTTGACATGTGGAGGGCAGAGGCAGGGAAGGGAGGAGGGCGGAGGGAGCGGGAGGAGGAGGAGGAAGGAGGAGAAAAGAAGTGGCTCTCTCTCTCTCTCTCTCTCTCTCTCTCTCTCTCTCTCTCTCTCTCTCTCTCTCTCTCTTTAAAACGAGGACCCAACACCACAGGATGGTTGGGAACAAAAGGACCTCCTCATGCTTTACCCCTTTCCCCTTCTCTTCAAGCATGTCCCTCGCCTGTATCTCCTCGACTGGGTTCAGCTGGTATTTCTCGTCGGGAAGCTGCATGCCCTCTCGCAGCGCACGCATCTTCTCATGATTGGGGGTGCCGCCGTAGACCTCCACCTTTTCAGGTCACAACCCCGTTCCCGCGCCTGGCCCCCCAACCTCCTCCTCATCCTCCTCCTCCTGTTGCTCCTCCTCCTGTTGCTCCTCCTCCTCTTCCTCCTCCTCCTCGCTCCCCTCCCTTCCCTCCTCACTCCTCCTCCTCCTCCTCCTCCTCCTCCTCCTCTCCTCCTCATCCTTCCTCCTCCTCCTCCTCCTCCTCCTACCTCATCCTCCTCCTCCTCTCCTCTCTCTCCTCCTCCTCTCCTCCTCCTCCTCCTCCTCCTCCTCCTCCTCCTCCTCCTCCTCCTCCTCCTCCTCCTCCTCCTCTCCTCGCTCCACTCCTCCTCCTCCTCCTCCTCCTCCTCCTCCTCTCTCTCCTCCTCCTCCTCCTCCTCCTCCTCCTCCTACTCTCTCCTCCTCCGTCCTCCTGCCTCCTCCTACTCCTCCATCCTCCTCCTCCTCCTCCTCCTCCTCCTCCTCCTCCTCCTCGCTTCCTTCCGCCTCCTCCTCCTCTCCTCCTCCTTCCTCCTCCTCCTCCTGCCTCCTCCTGCCTCCTCCTCCTCCTACACTCTCTCCTCCTCCTCTCTCCTCCTCCCTCCTCCTCCTCCCTCCTCCTCCTCCTCCTCTCCTCCTCCTTCTCTCCTCCTCCTCCTCCTCCTCCTCCTCCTCCTCCTCCTCCTTCCTCCTCCTCCTCCTCCTCTCCCTCCTCCAATTACGCGCGTCTCTCCCTTTTCGCCCTCCTCCTTCTCCTCCTCCTCCTTTTTCCCTCGTCCTCGCCGCCCCCCCTTTCACCACTCGGCTCATTGCCCGAGGCGAGGCAGCTGCGGGGATGGACGGGGGGCTGGGCTGGGAACCTCTTCCTCGCCATAGGGGCCTTGTACCTCTTCCCGTGCGAGTAGCGCGGGTGCGACAGGATCGTGTGCCTGAGGAGGAGGAGGAGGAGGAGGAGGAGGAGGAGGAGGAGGAGGAGGAGGAGCAGGAGGAGGAGCAGGAGCAGGATCAACAAAGGATACGAGTGAGGAGTGCAGGTAGGATGAGCGGCGGAGGAGGAGGAGGAGGAGGAGGAGGAGGAGGAGGAGGAGGAGGAAGAGGAGGAGAAGGGGAGAGCACCCGCAACCATCAGAGGCCCTCTCCGCCCCCCCCCCCAAGCTGGGCGCGGACCCGCCCTGTGCCCACAGGGGTCCAGAGGTCGGGCCCGTGGACTCCTGGCAGCGATGGCTGCCAAGGCCTCGGGCTGCGCGCAGTCGGCGGTGGACAAGCCTCCCTTTAGTAGACCTCCCCCTAGTGAAAAGGGCCTGGGGCCGAAACAGACGGACCTGGACCCGCAACAAATGGCGGCCGCGGCGCCCTCTCGCGAACCGAAAACGGCCAAATCCCTAATCGACGTGTCAGGGTAGGAGGTCTGTCCACCCCCGACGCAGGTCGGGAGCGGCCAAGAGGGGGGTGTCCAAGAGGGGGGGGTGCAAATCATGACCGGCGGCATGTGCGCGGCCCAGCGGGGGGCCAAGGACATAATGAAATAAGAAGAGGCGCCATGAAATCTGGGGAGATATCATGGCCCCCGCCATGATATCCCCCCCCCCCGAGTCATCACCCCCCTCTTTTCCGCCCCCGAGCAGGCCCCCCCCCCCAGCAGGCTCCCGAACGGTCCGGGGCGGTCCCCGCACCACCTCTAGCAGCGCCTCGTCCGCCGCCGTGGCGCGCCGAGCCCCAGGGGCTGCGGTGTCGAGGCCGCCCTGGGCTGTCCCGTGGGCCTGCCGAGGTCTGGCGGGACCGCGGCCGGGCCCCGCCGCGTCGGCGCGGACGTTGGGCATCTGGCACCGCGCAGGTCGTTCGGTCCTGATCGATCTCCGCCATCCGACAGTGACTACCTACCAAACCACCCCAACCCAACCCGAAGACCCGAATTTGACCCGAATTTCGGGTTGGGGGGGTACGGTTCCATGTGTTTTTTCGATGTTGCCCGACCCCACCCCCCACTGGAAATGGATGGCAAATCGTGGCCTTCGGGTTGGGTTGGGGTGGTTTGGTGGGCGGTGAGACAGTGGCGGCCGTCCAAAGTTGGCCCGATTCATGAAGGGGGGGTCCTGGGACACACGAACCAAGAACACACAAATGCAAGGGTTCCCCCTATGTTTTTCCCATACTTTCTGGGTCTTTGGCTTCCCCCCCATTTCCCATGTTGTCCCATGTTTTTTGGGGGGATCGATGATTCATTGTGTCTGTGTGTGTTTTCCCCTCCTGAGTTCAGGCCTCTGGTGGCACCTGGTGCCCTTCAGCTTCGAGCGCCCGCACCTGCGCCGCCGCGCCGACGCGGCGCGAACCTGCCGTGCCTCTGGGGGCTGCCTGCGAGCAGCCCGAAGTCATGCCAGGTCCCCGCAGGTCTCTGGGCCCCCCCCCAGGAGGCCTCGGGAGGCACCGCGAAGAGCCGAACGCAAACGCGCTGCGGTGGCTCGGCGGTGGCCAAACCTCCCTTGAGCAAACCGCCCTTTAGTGAAAACGGCCTGGGACCGAACCAGACGGACCTGGACCCGCAACAATGACGGCCGCGACGCCCTCTCGCGAACCGAAAGCGGCCAATTCGCTAATCGACGTGCCATTGCAGGAGGTCTGCCCACCCCCGAGCGGTGGACGCGCTCCCCTCCCCGAGTGCCACTCGTAGTCGTTGGTCAGGAGCAGGAGCCCAGAGGCGTTCCGGTCGATGCGGCCGATCGGGACGAGGCGGCGCTGCCTGCCGAGGAGGTGGGGAGATGATCGGGGGACTCGCCGTCCATTCCCCGCGTATTTTTCGGTTTCGTGCGTGCACTTGTTTCGCAAGGTGGCCCCAGATGCTCCTCGATGGTCCTCGCCGAGAAAAAAATGCACACGTCCGAGCGATGCCAAGGGGAATGGGGGCAGGAGCAGTGGGAACGGGAGGACGGGCGATCGGATCCATGCGCTTCGTGGTCCCAGTGTGTGCGCTGTGCTATGAGCTCAAACACCGAGCGGACGGGGTGAAGAACCGAAGGGGGAGAGGGCGATGATGACCAGCATGAGGAAGGTTGGCCTGGGAGGGCAGGCGGGTGTCTTCGCGGAAGCCGCTCTATTGAAGCTGCGCTGTCAGCCGGGCGTCGCCCGCACCCCTCTCCGCGACGACGCCGCTCCAGTGTGGTGGCCAGCTCCTGCGCGACAGCTCCTGGCTCTGCTAACGTGTTGGCGCTGCCATCAGGCCCGCTGGTCACAGCCAGGCGCGGCCCAAGCCCAAGCTTTAGCGAGCCAGATCTTGTCGGCAACCGCATCGCGACGCGTCGCCGCGGCCTCTGGAGGCAGTGGGGTTCCTGGTGGATGTCCTCGCGGGCCCTCTGCACCATCCTGTCCCTGCGCGCCCGCGGAACCTCCCCGTCACTGGTGAGAGCTGTCTGCAGCCTGGAACCCAGGGCTGGACCTAAACGTTGTTGCTCGTTTTGGTTTCGTGTTGTTGTTCGTTTTGTTCCACATGTTTTGTACCTCCCTGCCAAAACGAAAAACAAAATACAGCCGAAGTCCAGCCAAACAGCGTTTAGGTCCAGCCCTGCTGGAACCGTCGATGAGCTCCGAGAACTCTGTAGTTGCCCGCTGCGCAGCAAGCCACCTCCCCGTCGCTCGTAGACAGCGGACGGCACATCCGAGGCAGTCTGCAGCCGTCTCCACTGCCGCTTGGTGCGCGGACGCATTTCTCTCCAGGCTGACGCTCGCAATCGCCCTCTTGAGTAGCAGAAGGCGTCTTTGGGCCGTGTCGGCAAGGTCATCTGCCCCCCCCCGCAGTTCGCCCCGCTGAGTTTTGGCTCCGCCGCAGCACCACATTATGGGCCCACTCTGGTCTGGCTTGGGGGCCCCAGCGGCAATGGGCGCGACCCATGCCCTTTCCGCGACGTCGTCCTGCCAGCGACCTCCGGAGGGCTGTGCGCAGACGGAGGGCCGTTCCATTGCAACGCTGCGAAGGCCCATGTTTCGCGAAGCTGGCAAGACAAATGGGCGTTCACTTATGCCCAGTCCAGGCGCGGAGCTTCTTGCCGAGTGCGGTGCGTAGGTTCAGGCTGCCAGACCTCAGACAGCCCATGCGGCTCGTGACCAGGCTCGTCCCCGGCACCAGCCCACAAATCCGAGTGGGCCTCTCGCACAAAATTCCGGTCCTCGATCATCGCTGTCAAGGCCCCCGGGATCTTGGAGGGATGCGACTCGACATCTAATCCCGTGTTTCAACCAACTTGCACCTGCACCGTCTGACCTGTCGGCATGTTCACGTCGACGATGCCCAGAGGGCTGCTCGGGCCATAGAGCCGCAGCGCAGCCGCTCTCCTGGGAACGATGTCCACCCACTCCGCGCCACCCCTGGCACCGAACTGCACCAAGAAGGCGTTCTTGACCAAGCCCCCCGCGCCGCCGACTGCAGCCGTGCCGTGCGGTCACCGCGCAGTGACGCCTCGCGGCCACTGGATCGTCGCCGCCGCGCCCTGGGCGCTGTCTCCCGCAGGCGGAGCCTGTGCGCATCCCTGGCGAACGACGCGCTCCAAGTGCGCCCCGAGAGGTCTCTCGAGTGGCAGCCGATGGGCAGCGGGCGCTCCAGGGCTCCCAGGGCGGCCCAGGCGGACCCGCAGTCGGGCGGCGCGCCGCCCTCCTGCACGTCTTCCCCCGCACGCGCCGGCGCGCCTGCCCGTGCTGGCGCGTGCGCGCGCCTGGGTGTGCCGTGCCGTCGCCGAAGTCGTGGAAGGAGTGCCTGCAGATGTGCTCGGTGCCGCCGTTTCCCGCCGTGCTGGGCACTGTGACGCCGCTCGATGCGACGGGGCTGCTGCCCGCGGTCCCACCGATTCCCATCGAGCTGGCGCTCGGAGCCGCGGTGCTGCTGGGAGCACTCGTGCTGCTGCAGTTAATAGGGCTACCAGCTCCCAACTCGCTGACAACTGAGGTGCTGCTGGATGTGTTGATGCTGCTGCCAGAGGCGCTGTCGGCTGGCCTAACCCTGCCGGTCGGCTTCTTCTCAAAGCCCCCTATAGCTCTATGAGGAGCCATCCGGGAATTGGACGCGCCGCGGCTCGTCGCACGGCTCGACGCCGAGGCACAAGAGCAACGCCTGTCGTGCCCAGTCCTCCGGGTCCCGCGCCCATCGTTTGTGAGCAGGGAGCTGCGCCACCGTAGTGACGACAGACTCGACGGTGCTGCTGTCATTGGTATTGCTCCATCGTGCTGGAACCCGCGGTGCTGCTGTATGCGCTGGCGCTGCTGTCCTTGGTGGAAACGCACGCGAGGACGCTGTGCAAGGAGAGTGTAGGAGAATGGACAGAGAATACGTATCCGAACATACGAAGAGGATGTGCGGCTATGACTTAAATGTGCGGACCCTGTACATTCAACATTTTGCAAAACCGAGTATGGCTATAACAATGCATGGTGTAATCATCCAATCCCTACGCCAAACGCTGGCGCTTCCTCACCCAGTCGACCCAACGGAAGAGGATGGTACTGCTGATGGTGGTGATGAGGAGGACGGCGACGAGTGTGGGAAGTATACCGACGACAAGGAGGGACTTAAAGGGGATGAGCAGGAGGAGGAACGCGAATCAACTGGTCCTCAACATAGACGTTCGGGGTGGGGGCTCTCTCTGTCTGGTCGGTCCGGCCGGACGGAACCAACCGATGCTGCCTGGCGAAAGGCACGCAATCCATGATCGTCTTGCGGCCCATCGGATCCTCCACTGTGGATATGCAGCCCTTCGGCTTGTACAACATGATCCACAGTAGCTCGCCAAGCGTGCGAAGGTTCTGCTTCACACCGTCAACAGTCACACAATCGTGCTTTGGGTTCACCTTCGTCTGCACCTCCTGCACGGTCACTCCATTGATCATAACCCTGCCCTGCAACACCATTTCCGTGGCGTCTCGGCGGGAGCAGGCGCCGGAATGGGAGAGGAACTTGGACAGCCAGACCTGAAGGACACACGATTCCCTCGAAATAATATTTTCCCACCCCTTCCCGCCGTGCCATCTTCGAACATTCTGCCTCCGTGCCGCATGGCATGGTGTGGGATGCGGCAACGCCCTGGGGCTGTCTGGCAAGGTATCTGCACCTTTCAATGGGCAACGCCCGCCTTCTCGCGTCACGTCGACGAACATCGCCCTGTTGCTGTTGCTGTGTGTCTGGGGAGCCCCCCGCAACAAGAATCGTGCATTGGATTACTGAGGGCACCTGTGATATCTGTCACCGAGCTTGCAGCAACTGGTGTGTCGGGCCCCTGGGCTTCCGTTACTTCCGCTTCCTGCGAAGCAATATTGGGGCCGCCCGACGCATCGAACTCTGCATCCTGTCATGCCTTGCACCTGCACCCCGTTTTTGTTCCGCCTTCCGACAAGCACATGCCCCCAAAACGGACGTGCGGGCTGCCATGCCTTGAGCAGGGACCGACCGTCCCGGCATTCCTATAGGCCTACCACGACATGTTCTTAGAACCCAAAGATGTTCTAAGAACGAAAACAATGTTCTTGGAACAGAACCCCGATGTGTCAAAACAGGCCAGTCCCAGCCAGAGATGTTCTAAGCACATCTCGCGGAAACTGCAGAAGGCTCTTAGAACATTCGCTGGTAGGCCTACAGGCGAGCCAGGACGCTTCGCCACTGCTGGGACGCCCCGTGGCATGCCCTCCCCCGCCCCCAGGGCGCCACGCCTTCCCCCCTCCCCCTCCGTGCCCGCCCCGAGCGCGGTGCCGGAGCCGCGCGGCAGCACCGCGGGATGGCCCCTGCGTGCAGCAGTGGGCCTCCTTCCGTGCGGCGGGTCCGGGCGGTCGGCCCGTACCATGCGGATGCGCGGTGGGGATGCACACTGCCCTGGAGGGCCACGCGAACGCTTCTCGAACGAGGCTGGCCAGAGGGAGTCGCTAAGGATCGGCCGAAGGGGCAGGGATGCAAGGCTGGCCTTGGGGAGCTGGTTCATGCTTCCTATGCGGGTTGCGTGTGCAGTTCTCCTTATCGCAGTTCTCAGCGGAAGAAGGCCGCACGAACTCCGCAAACATCAACCAAGACGCCGCCCAAAAAGAACTGAGAGGCCCTGAACGACCAAATACGGCCATAAAACGTCTCGAGGCCGGCGCAAGACGGTCCTGGGACCACCCAGGACGCCACTCAAACTGCCCCAAGTCGGCCTCGAGCCCTTGCAAACGGCCTCAATCTAGTTTTACAAGTTCTACAGCCGCTTGCCAGTGGGGAACCTCTTACGGTGGCAAGAGAAGCGATGCAAGTTGCACGGGAGGCTTAACGAGGCTCACCCTTGTATCGACCAACTCCCCTACAACTTCGTCATAACCGAAGCTTGTTTCACCGAGGTGGGAGCCTGGCCACGTTGCTCATCGTGCCGAAGGCAGTGCTGTTGGCCGCCGAGGAGTGGGCTCCTCCTCGTATTTCAAACTCCTCGCCTCACGACACTTACAGCGGCCGTGGGGGACGAGACGACCCTTGAGTTCGATCTCTCCCGGTGGTGGGAGCTGCCGGCGGTGGCATTATTTCGTGTTCTACATGCAGGCCTTGTGCACTTGCCCATGGGCTTTGGCCGGTCAACAGTTGGACAACCATGGGAGGGGCGGGCTAAACCGGTGATCCTTTATGGAGACGTTCACGGGTCAGAGAGTGGCCGTATTGTGGTCTCTCCGGGATCGGCGCCTTCAGTCACGTTGGACGCGTTCGAGAGGCATTTTGGCCGGCAGGCCGGACCCCACGGGGTCATCTCCTACCACTGGCACGGCCCCTGCGGGGGCGGGCGCGGGGCGTCGGGGCCCTCGGGCCTACGCCTCGCTATCGCGTCCTTGCGGCCGCCGTGTTATGCTTCGACCTCATCTTGTACAGCGTTTTGTTCTAATGTTTTTCTTGAAGCACGTTTTGTCGTGAGGGACCCGGTCCTCGTGGCCGTGATGGGTCGCAAGCAAGTTCTACAGCCGGAAATCTGATCACTCAAACTGTCATTCAAGAAACCTGGGCCAGCTTCCCAAAAGTTCACTCACACACGCCTGGGCTAACTTCTGTCGATAACGCTGGATTGGCGAGCGTGCTCAAGAAACTGGGCCAGCTGTCCGCAAGGTTCTCTCCAGCGCAATGGATAGGAGGAGGGGGAGCGGTCTCTAGAGCACGATGACAGGTTCGGCTACTCAGTTGTTCAGTCTGCAAGCTGCTTCAGACGCCGTGCCCATGAGGCGTCCAGCCATGCAGACGAGCTGTCTGGCAAACGAGCTGTCTGGCCAGCCGTCCGCAGGGCGGTTCCCGAGCGCCGGCCCAGCTTTTCGGGAGGAGGTCTCTGAATGAGATGCTCAGCTACAGCGGAGGCCGACGCCCGACCACAAGGAACCTTCCACGAGCAACCCCACCCTGAGACCCCAGGACGTCCATCGATTTTTGGTGCGGGAGCGTCATGCTTTCCATGGCAAGAGCATCGACACCCAGGAAGCCCAGGGAAGCCTGGAGGCAAGCAGGGTGCCTCTTGGCATGGGCCCCCACTGAGAGCTCGGCGGAACCGCCGCGCCGAACACGGCCGCACAGCATCCCGGAGGCCCGCTGGCACGGTGGCGGGAATCTGCTGCAGGAGGAGCGCGTGTGCCCCCTTGTCCTGCCGCGGTTTGATCTTTTTGAGTCTCCTCCCCCTCCTCCTCTTTTCGAGTCTCCTCCTCCTCCTCCCCCTCCTCCTCCTCCTCGTCCTCCTCCCCCTCCTCCTCCTCCTCCTTCTCCTCCTCCTCCTCCTCCTCCTCCTTCTCCTCCTCCTCCTGGAGCAGGTCCTCGCCCGTGAGCTGTTCTCGACGGCCCCAGGGCCCAGGAGCGTCCCCTGGACGCTAAACACTGCCAGGAGCTTCGGGCTAGGCTTCGGTCGGGCATGTCCCCCTACAGGCGGATTTTAGCATATATTTTTTTATACCCACAAATATACACACGTACTCAGAAAATTCACCGGCCCAACGGGCCAAGGGCGTGCTAAGATCTCCGGCAACTGGTTGACAATATTCTAGTTCGCGCGCGCGGGGCCGCCCCTGGGGATCCCCGGACGAAAAGTACCCCGGGACACCCCCTACAGGCGGATTTCAGAAGAAAAACCTCTAAACATGCCCCACACATATACAGACATACTCAGAAACGAATCCAAACATCGTCCCCAGATTAGACTATTGTTTTGGCTAGACTTCGGTCGGGTATGTCCCCCTACAGGCGGATTCTAGAAGAAGAAATTTTTAAATGCCCCACAAATATTCAAACATACTCAGAAACTAATCCAAACATCGTCCCCAGATGAGACTATTGTCTGACTAGTCTTGAACTTTCCTCCTGTGGAGGGACACGCCCGACCTAAGGCTAGATTTGTCAAAGTCGCCAGAGGTCAGGATTCTGCCTTCCCTCCTGAGGACCTCGTGAAAGCCGATCGCGGGCAAGTTCGGGCTGAGCTTTGCAGTGCTCAGGTCGTCGCCATGGATCCCCTTCCAGCTAAAGCGAGGCCTGTGGTACAGCGACCGCAGCTCGGCTGCCTCCTTGTCGAGCTCCTCGAGCCTGTCTCCCTGCTTCGGTTTAAATCTCCTGTTCGACTTGCTGTCCTCTCGGAACTTCGCCGAGGCTGGGTTAAACTCCCACTGCTGGGCGTAGCTAGGGTCCAGGCGGAGCTCGCGGTTGGCTTCCTTCCAGGCCCGCATTTCGTGGCAACATGAAGGGACATAGAGGAATGGAAGAAACGATGGCGAGGACAAAACGGTGGGAGGAGGAGGAAGAGGAGGAGGGAATGTCTACCAGGGGAAGCTCACAGGGTCAGAAAACACCTCCAGGATAAGGATGACAATTAATGAATATGCTGCTGACGATGACGAAAACGGTGGTAACGACAACGACGATTAGGACTATCATAATGATGGTGATGATGATGGTGATGATGATGATGGTGGTGGAGATGATGCTGATGATGCTGATAATGAGGCGGATGATGATGATGATGATAATGATGATGATGAGGAGGATGCTGCTGCTGCTGATGATGATGCGGATGATGCGGATGATGATGATGATGATGATGATGATGATGATGATGATGATGATGATGATGATGATGATGATGATGATTATGGTGCTGATGCTGATACTGCTGCTGATGATGATGTGATTGTGGTGATGATGACTATGAGGACAGGCGAATGAGGAGGAGGAGGACGAGGAGCAGCGAGGAGAAGAAGGAGGATACTGGTGAACTTACTTACTTTCTGTTGGGCCTGCCATCAACTCAATCGATGTGTGTTCATCGAACCGTTGATTACGAAGGAACAAGTATGGCAAACTTCGTCAGAGCTTGCTCGACATACAACCAACACTCCATAGTTCGTCTTCCAGCAAGCCAGAGCCTGCACGCAACATCCGCGGATGAGCAATTACACGCACGAGGCATAGTGTATTGCGGCAATTCAAACCTTCAATACGGCTTATACGATCTCCCAGAAACCTGCACGTAAGTAGTGTCCTGACTGAATGGTCAAAATCATGTGCATTGCCGAAGCACTGCGGCTTACGTTCTTCACGAAAGCATCAACGTTGACAAAGCGCTAAAATTCCATGGCGAGTGACAACACACGTAGCGTGAGACAATGGGATCCCCCGTGGGTTGCCTGAGGGTACGACCGGCGCATCAGCAGGCTGCACGAACATTGAGCTCAAACACCCGAGCAAAGCTCAGAGACGAACTCACGCTCCACCGCAACGCCGTGTGCACTTGGCAACATCGGCTGGATACGACCAGCGAGCGCCCAGCCAGCTCGGGTGACTCCTCTGCCGCTGGAACGAGAAACTCAAACTCTTGCCGCGGCGGCGGACATGGCCCGTTACCGCGAGGGCACGCTGGGGCAAGGCCGAGCGGGAATCGGCGATGCATCGCCGACAGATCGGCGATAAGCCCCCGACAGCGAATTCGTACGTTTCCAGGCGGGGTGGGCTATCGGGCCCCCCTTCGGCGATGAGTGGGCGAATGGGGGCCGACGCGACCCCCTGAACGCATCCTCCTCTAACGTTGTGGATGCCACGACAATAGACACCTTAACAGTCTCATCATAGAATTTAACATCTGTTTAACATGTCGGAAACATGTTCTATACATGGTTTAAGCATGTTTTTTATATGTTCAACACATGTTTTAGACATCTGCAAATTATTTAGCAACATGCTTCCTCTCCATTGATCGTCCTCCACAACTCTAACGTTGCCCCCCGTGGTCACGGCTCGCTGGAAGAGCACCCTGCAGCCGCAGGAGTGGGCGGCACACGGGCACACAGGCACACGGGCACACAGACACACCGACGCACAGACACGCATTCACGCATTCACGCATGCACGCATTCACGCATTCACGCATGCACGCATTCACGCATTTAAGCATTCACGCATTCACACTCACACACACACACACACTACATGTCGTAAGTCTCACGGTGCTCGTGCACTTTGGCGATTTTGCGATTGCCATCGCAAGCCGTGATGACCCCTGTATTAACGGGGTTCTTGGTAGTACGGTCGGACCCAGGACAGAAGAACGTCCTTCATGAACATGAGATCCTCCGCCAGTTAAGACACACATAACATCCCAGGGTACCCTCCGCAGATGCACAAGCACATCAAGCAGACACGAAGAGCAGCAGGACACCCTCTCCGAACCGACCTGGACCTTATAAATCGGTCCGGCTGTAGTGATGTGGCCGACGTAAATCGGCGGGGGAAAAACCTCCCTTTAGTAAACCTCCCCATAATGAAAACGGCCTGGGACCGAAACCGACGGACCTGGACCCGCAAAAATGACGGCCGCGACGCCCTCTCGCGAACCGAAAACGGCCAATTCCTTAATCGACGTGTCAGGGTAGGAGGTCTATCCTTAAGTCGGGCGTGTCCTTCTACAGGGGGATTGTCGACGAAAAATTTAAAGATACCCCAACGAATGCTCCAAAATGGTCAAAAGCGTGCTCCAAGAATAGTCCCCAGACTCTATTTTTTGCCCATGTTCGAATATTCCCCCTGTAGAGGGACAGGCCCGACTTCAGTTCACGTCCCCTCAGTTTCACGCCCACATCATCCCCTGTACGCCTGACCCCACCACATTTACCCCCACCGTGCACAGTCACATTCCGCCCCAGTCTCCCCAGGTTCAGACCACTATTCCCACCAGTTACCCCCTTGCCACCCACCTCACCCCACACTCCCTCAGTCTCCCCCACCAGCCTTCATCCACAGACAGTCCCCAACCGAGTTGTTACCCTCCCACAGTCATGTTATGTTGTCGCAAGCCCCCCCACAGTTACACTTCCCCCAGCTCGAGCGACAGTGCCTCCACGCCTCCCCCTTCCACCAGTTACCCTCAGACCAGCCCAGATCCTATCTCCCCATCGGCCACAGTCCACAGCAATCGCCCCCCAGCACGCCAGTCAGTCACATGTTGCCATCTTTCAACCCCCTTTACCCAGCCTCCCGTCTGGCCCACCACAGGCTTCCAACAGTCGCATCCACCGTGTCATTTCCCTTCAGTCTGTCCACCACTGAGTAAATCGGGGATCTTCTACCCGGGTCAATTCCAGACCCGAGTCAGCAGGAAACCAAAAACTGCAATGCAGGAAAAAAAAAGCTGCAACGCAGGTCTTCGCAGACCCGGGTCAGCCAATCGGCGCCCCCCCCCCCCCCCCCCCCCCGGCCGCTAGCGGCCCAACGAGCGGCTCGATACCCGGGTCAGCCATGGCGAGGGGGTCTCCGCAGGATCCTGCAGGATCCGGCGCCTGTCTGAACCCCCGTCTGCATTGACCCTGTCTCTTTTGGACGCCCGAGTATCCGGGTCCCACTCGGGTTCCGGGGGTAACTCGGCCTTGGGCTCCGAAAAACGAACCCGAGTTAGCCCTGACCCGAGTTACCCCTGATGATTCGGGGCTCTGGACGCCCGAATTATCCGGGGTAACTCGGGTCCGGGATAACTCGGGTTCGGATCCCCGAAAAACAACCCCGAGTTAGCCCTGACCCGAGTTACCCCTGATGATTCGGGGCTCTGTCTCTTGGCTCCCGAGTAAAAGCAGCGTCCCCGGAACGCCGGACAAGCCGCCTGGCGCCTGGCGCGGGAGGCGGGCGGAGCCGGGGGGGCGGGCGGCCGCAGAGCAGGGCGCGGCCGCGGCTCTCGGCGGGCCGTGCCGCGGGCAGAGCTCTGGCCGCCGGCTTTTTGAAGGGGCCCCAGGACACACAAATGAATACACACAAATAAAAGTATTCCCCATATTTTCCCATATTTTTTGGGTTTTTGTCTTCCCCCCCGATTCCCATATTTTCCTCTATTTTCCTGGGAGTCGACGATTAATTGTGTCTGTGTGTTTCTTTCCCTCCTGACCCTCCCAGATTCGCTCCCAGATGCTGTGGTCGGTCTGATTCTACATCGGGCCTGTCCCCCTACAGGGGGATTTTCGACGGAAAGCAAAAAAATAGCCCAACCAATGCTCCAGGCCGCGGCCTCGCCAGGCCGTGCCGCGGGCAGAGTTCTGGCCGCCGGCTTATTGTTCGGTCGCCCTCCAACGAATGTTACTGCACAGTCGGGGCGTTGACCTGAGGAACCCTAAATGCGGAACGAGGCCCCTTTTTTCCATAAGTTCAACTTCGATCTCCTATCGAGAACACAGGAACACCTGAGGCAAGCTGTGAAACACTTGAGGAACGCGGAGCCCCTCCCCAACGAAAAGGGTTCCTTCTTCAGGGCCCCGACTGTATCGTCGCTCCCAGGTTCTGTGGTCGGTCTGATTCTACATCGGGCCTGTCCTCCTACAGGAGGATTTTCGACGGAACAAAAAAGGACTACTCCAAAACTACTCCACAATGGTCGAAAGATGCTCCAAAAATAGACCCGAGACTATTTTTTGACTGTTGACGAATCTTCCCCCTGTAGAGGGACAGGCCCGACTTCATGGTACTGTATCGCCGTTCCCCGATTCTGTGGTCGGTTCGATTCCTGGTCGCATGCTCATGCACCTGTCGGTGTGACATTCTTTCGGCGCCGGCTCCTCGGAGTGGAGCGGCGCAGTCGGGCGGTGTCTTTGTGTTCCTCCTCCCTTCGCTGCGCCTGCGCGCGTGTTGGCAAGAGGGAGAGGGCCATAGCCGCTTGAACTCAGGCCGGTCTGAGGTGGCGGCGTGGTCACCGAAGGCCCACTCAGAGCGCCTACAAAACCGAGCGGTCCCCGATCGCAGGCTCGAGATCGTCATGAGATGTCTTGTGGGGGTGCCATGCGCTCGCTCGAACGATGCAGCTCGTGCGCGGTGACGGGGAACGCGGCTGCTCTCGCCGAGCGACTGTCACGGCGCCCCCAGGCGCTTCGTGGAGGCGAGGGCCGAACTCGGTCATCGCCAGATCGGCCAGACGCTCACGGAGACGCCGCGAGCCGTCGGATGGAGGAGGAAGAGGGATGATGATGATGATGCTGATGCTCATGCTGATGATGATGATGATGATGATGATGATGATGATGATGATGATGATGGTGATGATGCTGATGATGATGAGGAGGAGGAGGACGGTTGGTGTTGGAAGGATAGCGTGTAACATGGATCTCTGCAAAGCAGGCTATGCCTGCGAAGCGATCCCCCCGCGAGAGCCCCTTCTGTGCAAACTATCCCCCTCTGCCGGGGCATCTTCGGTGCACGCTGCCCCAAAGGCAGGGGACAGCGTGTAATAAGCGGGCCAGCGGCGCCACATCGCACGTGCTTTTTCTTATACATCGCACGGTATATTTACAACGCCAACCGTAGGAGGGATGAGGGAGAGGCTGATGTCCTTCCAGGCCGCACGTTGCTTCTTCTTCTCCGGCAGGGGCTGCCCATCCTTGTCGTACCCGTACCTGGGAGAACAATCAGATCCGCCACCCCGAGCCTCTCCACAAGCACGACGGACATGGGGACAGGGGAGGAGGGGGTGGGGGGCGGAAGAGGAGGAGGAGGAGGAGGAGGAAGAGGAGGAGGAAAAGGGATGCTGGATAAGCAAGAAACAGTAATCGGACGAATGCTAAGGCGAGCAAGTAGGATGAGGAGGGGGAGGAGGATAATAAGGAGAACGAGCATGAGAAGGGGGCAGGAGGATGAGCAGGAGCAAGAGAAGGAGGATGAATAAACGACTGGGCCAACTTGTGGTGGATATCGGCCACCAGCCTGGCCGTGAGACCGTGACCACCAATACCCTGGAACCAAAGAGTCTGCGGCCTTGTTTTGGCCTGTGCGCATCTTCGGCACAAGTGTACCTTTTCTTGGCCTACCCTGGTTGGTGGTGGATACTTGTCCTCCCCTTCGCACCTCTCCGGGTCGTCCGACCACCCTATCGGCCTTGGAGGCAGAGGCTTGAGCTTCTCCTCGCGTCGCCAATTGGGATCCTGTGGGCAACCAACTTGCCTGCCTGCCTTCCTCCTCCGCCTCCGCTTCCTCCTCTATGTGCTCGGCAACCGCTGGCGCAGCATCGCGACGAAATCGGAAAACCAGTGCGGCCGCACCTCTTCTCCTCCTCCTCCTCCTCCTCCTCCTCCTCCTCCTCCTCCTCCTCCTCCTCACCCTCCTCCTCCTCCTGCTCCTCTCCTCCTCTCTCCTCCTCCTCCTCCTCCTCTCCACCTTCTCCTCCCTCCCTGGGGCTCTCCCTGCTCCCCCCGCCCTCCCTCTGTCCTCCTCCCTCCTCCTCGTCCTGTCCTCGTCCTCCTACTCCTCCCTCCTCCCCTCCTTCTCCTCCTCCCCCTGTTCCTTCCCCCTTCGCGTGCCCTCCTTCTCGCTTCCACATCCTGCTTCCTTCTCCGTCTTTTTCTCTTTCTCCGCCTCAGCATCGCGACGAAATCGGAAAACCAGTGCGGCCGCACCTCCTCTCCTCCTCTCCTCCTCCCCCAATCCTCCTCCTCCCTCCCCCTCCTCCTCCCTCCTCCTCCTCCTCCCCTCCCCTCCTCCCCCTCATGTTCTTCTCCTCGTCCTCCTCCTCCTCCTTCTCCTCCTCCTCCTCTTCCTCTTCCTCCTCCTCCTCCTTCTCCTCCTCCTGTTCCTCCTCCTCCTCCTCGTCCTTCTCCTCCCCCTCCTCCTCCTCCTCCTCCTCCTCCTCCTTCCCCCTGTTCACTTACCCCTTCGCGTGTTCCTTCCTTCTCCGCTTCCACATCCTGCTTCCCCTCCGTCTCTTTCTCTCCTCCTCCTCCTCCTCCTCCTCCTCCTCCTCCTCCTCCTCCTCCTATATTGTTATTATCCCCCCCCCTCTCCTCCTCCTCCTCCTCATCCTCCTCCTCCTCCTCCTCCTCCTCCTCCTCCATTCCTTTTCCTCATAATTCATTCCCCCCTGTCGCACCCCGAAACCAATTTTCAGGGCGGGCCGGGCGTTTCGCCTGAGAACTCCTCACCATCTATGACTCTGAAACTTCAAAAATGACAACAACTTCACAGATGGAGGGCGGGTGGTTTCAAAATGTGGCTCTCGCTTTAGCGCCACGCACATTCAATCTAAAGAATTACAAAGGCTTCGCGGATGGAGGAGCACCCGTCTTCAAAATGTGGCTGTCGCCTTCGCGCCACGCACATTCGTCCAACAAATTTGCAAGAGCTTCCCGGATTGAAAATAACCCGTTTCAGAATGTGGTTATCGCCTTAGCGCCGCGCACCTTCGTTCAAACAAATTGCAACATCTTCACGGATTGAGGGCGGCTCCTTTTCAAAGTGTGGTTCTCGCCAGAGTGCCGCGCACATTCGTTCATACAAATTGCAGGAGTCGCGGGTTCCCACGATCAACGTACCAGACATTGTGTTTTGGAAGGATTCACGGTTTTGCGGGTGCAACAGTTACGTTGGTTACCGGCGTTGAAATCCCGAGACTGGTGTTCTGGCACGATCCAAAATCGTCAAGACGCAGCGATCAGGTTGATCCGTGGGGTTGGAATCCCGAGAATAAGGTTTCGGCATAGTTCTGGGTCTTCAAACGGTTGTCTTCCAACGAGGCAGAACCCTCAATGGAAATGACCCGTTGTAGGAGCCTCGGAAAAAAAGGGAACTTGGAGGGGGGGTGTATTCCAACACCGTTGATGGCTCTTGGGTTTACACTGGTCCTCCTCCTCCTCCTCCTCCTCCTCCACCTCCTCTCGCGGCCCCGGGGGCCCCAAATCCGAAGGGGCCCCTGGGTCCGGGGGTCAGGCGGACGACGCGCGCCCGCGCCCGCGCGCGCCCCAGCGGCGCGGGCGGCGCCGGGGGCGGCGCTTTTCGGCCTCCACGGCGCCGCCCCCGCCGGCAGCAGTGGCAGCGCCGCGCTCGCCAGCGCCCCTGCCAGGCAAGCGCTCGGCTCCGCGCGGCGGCCACGGCGCCGCCCTGCCTGCGCCCCGCAGTCGGTCCAGCGCGGCGCCGCCGCCAGCCCGGCGAGCGGCGTCAGCTCGGCGCCCGATCGCGCACAGCTCGGGCCTCGCCCGCGGCGTCCGCGGCCTGCCCGGCACCAGCGGGGCGCCCGGAGCGCAAGCCCGTCAGCGCTCGCAGCTCAGCCCCCTCCAGGGTTCCCGCGCCCGGCGTCGGTGGCCCGGCCTTGCGCTCGCGTCGGCGCCAGCACCGCGTCGGCGGCGTTGCTCTGGAGGGCGCGCCCGGGCGAGGGGTGCAGTCGCCGGATGGCCGCCGAACGCTCCGTGTCCTGCGCGGGCGCCAGCAGCCGCGCCATGGCCAGCGCCTCCTCGCCCAGGCGGCCGTGGTCCTCAACCACGAAGGGCATTACGGTCACTCCGGGGTAGCGGGCCCGCTTGCGCCGCGCCGCGGCCGCCGCCGCCGCCGCGCCGTCCCGCCGCGCAGAGCCGAGCCCGAGCGCGTCCTGCGTGCGCGCGCTCACCACGCCCAGGTCGACCATGAGCGGCTCACCAAGGCGCGGGGCGTGGACGACGAGGTCCATCCGCGCCTCGGGGCTCGCCGGCGAAGCGTGGGGGAGCAGCACTTCTCGGTGCACGGTGCACCCCTGCTCCTCACACCACTCCGCGAACGCCGCGCAGGCGTTTGTTCCACGTGTTTCATACAGTTACAGAAATGAGGAACGGCCCGTCTTCAAAATGTGGTTCTCGCCATGGAGCAGCGCACATTGTTCTTGAGCTTCCGTGGCAACTATGCGGGTTGATGTTCGCCCTCACTCGCGCAGCGTCCACTCGCCTAAACTCGGTTTCAATGATGGGCGGCTCCTTTTGAAACTGGTGCTTTCACTTGGGACTTCGCCGAAGTCTATGACTCACACAATACATACTAGGGAAACCGCTGCGCGGATACAATGAACTTCCTGTTTAAGATTGGACCCTCGCTTGAACTCCTGTGTTTTTCGGGCGAACCGTGTAAGCTTAATTGTGCAACAACTGCACTGGTGGAATGTCGTTCCTTTTCGAGCGAAGCTCCCGCTGTACCCTGCGCGAGCTGTATGATCATAGTTGTTTTCAATATTTCTTCTAGCTCGATGAATGGACGGCGGCGCTCTCCTCGAAACGGAGGCCCCGCCTCAAGTCAGGCCCATCGGGCGCTCGCATTTCAAGGGGGCGCTTCCAGCAGTGAAATGGACTGCATGCAGGACCTTGTGCAGAAACAGGGGGCTTGGAACGGGAAGTCGTGTTGTACCAGCGTCGGTGTATGGTGGGTCTACTCTGGTTCTCCTCCTCCTCCTCCTCCTCCTCCTCCTCCTCCTCCTCCTCCCTCCTCCCCTTATGCAGTTTCCTGCTCGTTCTCGTCTTCGCCCCTTCTGGCCTATTCTCCGTCCCCCTCCTCGCCTTTTTCTTTCCTCCTCCTCTCTCCTTCTCCCTTTTTTCCTCCTCCCACGCCGGCCTTCAAGGGTCCGAACTCAAGCAGGTTCATGCGTCCATGCGGCCGAGGAAAAAAAGGGGAGGACGGGTCCTCCGCCTCGTAGGGTGATCTGATATGTGTTTGTGCCCCGACATCCGGTAGCTCCACACCTGGGCAATCTGGAAGAGCCCTGCAGCTTTCCATGAGCAGTGCAAAACTCGGCGAGCAACGCCTGACGTGTCACTGCGCACAAAAAACCATGGCTTGCACCACCACGTCATATTCACAAGAGCGCAGAAGACCAACCTCTTCACGTGGCAAGCCTGCCAGCTCATGGACATGCGCGGACGACCGCAACCGCGGCCGACCAAGACGTTACTGAGACAGGACACGCGAACGATGGCAGAGGCAGGAGACAGCAGGATAACTGGGGGCAAAACGAGCCGCGCTGCCTAACATAACGACGCCCCCAGTGCCGCCCCCACGCCGGCCGAGGGGCGCCACTCCCTCGGACTGACCGCAACCCCCGCGCACCACCTGGGCGGGGCACCCAGGTCGTGGGAAGGACGGGTGGGGATCCCTCAATGAGCCGCCCGCAGGCGACCCGCGTCCCCGCACGAGGGCGGGGTGTCGGGCAGGCCACCGCAAGAGGGGGGCAACGTGGCGACGAAGGTGCAACGTTCTCCCTCCCACTGGCCCCCCTACGGGCAAACAGGGGCGACGAGCGGGCTGCTACCCGCCTGTTTCCCTGGGGGGCGTCGGTACACACCCACTAGCTCTACAAGCCCAGTCCTCCTCCTCCTCCTCCTCCTCCTTTTCTTCCTCCTCCTCGTTTTCATTATCCTCCCCTTTTTCTTCTTTGTCCTCCTCCTGCTCCTCCTCCTGCTCTTCCTCCTTCTCCTCCTCCTCCTCCTCCTCTTCCTCCGCCTCTTCTTCATCCTCCTCCTCCTCCTCTTCTTCCTGTCCTCCTGTTCCACCTCCTCACCCCATTTCTCCTCCTCGTCCTCCTCCTCCTCCTCCTCATCCTCCTCGGTCGCTCGGTCGCGCGCTAAGTGAAGGCCTAAACGGTTCGAAGCCCATGCTTAAAGGGCAAGAGAAAGGCGTAGACAGCACCTCCTAACATGCACATCCAAAAAAAGAGGTGTGTGTGTGTGTAACGAGGGCGACTCAAGTGACGAGGATGCTGTCCTTAGCCGCGCGGTTTCGGCGAGCAAGGCCTAGATCAGTCCAACAAGAATGGCAGTGGTCGAGCATTCGCTCATCATCTTAGGGGGCGCGTATGAACGCGCGCATGCGAACGCATGCCGCGACGGAAATCCGAACGGACGGGGTCCCAGGATGCATTTATATGGACAATGAGAACGCAAGAGTTCAAATGCCTGACAGCAAAAAGCAACAATCAGAACAGGACCAGCGAGCTCCTCCTGGAAACTTGACCAGCAATTCCACTTCAGGAAAAAGTAGCAACTCGAGGCCTCCGTAAGCTTTTCTTGGCAAGCCAAGCGCAACAGGTATGCCTTGCAAGCAGCAGAAGAGAAACAAATCAATGGTGGCGTGGAGGTTCGCATTGTCGCGACTGATGCGGTCAGCCCGATTGTCGTCGTTGCGTGGTGTTCCCACGTGTGACCTTTTCTCCTGCTCACTTCATCCCTCCAAGAGCTACAAGGATGCTCCAGAACAAGGGCGGCCGCGCTGCCCTCAAAGATCCTCCTCCTCCTCCAATCCAGCCCACTTGAGGTCGGTTTGTACTGGTCTAACGTCAGGCTGCTTAGCGCATAAATCAATATCAAATATGTGTATATATCCACCCCTGACCCTCGCAACGGCTCCAATGGACTGTCCAGAGCACAGCACGTAGGCGATTCGATGTTTCGCTTGATGTTTGGCCAGATATGCGTGCCCATGTGCGCGGGCAAATTTTGCGTTGACGACGTGGAGGTGCGCCTGCGGCGCGCAGAGATGAAACGGCTCATCCGGTTCGCCTTGAATCTGCGCACAGCCAAGGCTGCCAATCCACTCGGAACAAACACCGCCCACTCGCGCGTTAGCATCGGCCATCGCCAGATTAACCTCCCACTTGTCAAGAAGAGCGCTGGTTCTGCTCCAGAACTCCCGCGGCGCATGAGCTTTGTATCCCGCGTAGGGAGCGTGAATCACGGCAGCGCGTGTCTTGCAAACGTTAGTTGATGGCCGCTATCAGCCTGCGTGGATCACAATGCAACGCAACGGCATCATGCCGAATGAATGTGACCTCTCTCCCCTTTGCTGTGGCCGACGGCCCCTCGAGGTTAATCCAGAGCTCGCAACCCAGACCCCCCCTCGTGAGCCCCCGAGGCCAGTGTCCGGATGGTGCCAGACATCCGCGCGCCGCTGGGGCTCCTCGACTCCTGAACTCCGATGAGGTGCGCCCGCTCGTCAGCAAACGGATTTTTTCTTTGAGCAGATAAAGCAATCTGCGCGCGCGAGTCGCCGCTTGCCCTTCGATCCCGCGGGCGCTCTACAACGCGTGGACTTGACATTGAACTGCGCGGCTCGCAGCTGGGCCCCGTGCTTGGATTCCCTGGCCCCACCCGCTTCGGAGCAGTCCTCGGGGGGTGGGTGGGGGCGAGCGGCGGAGCGTCGAGGTAGATGAGCACCCCCTCCGCGCAGTCGGCAATCCAGTCCCCCCTTCCTTGAAGTGGGCGTTGCCCGCCCCCGCTCTCTCTCTCGACGTGATTGGGGGCGTCGGTTTTAACGACTCGCTGACCCATTTTCTCCCGATCCTTTCTTGGGCAGCATCTTGGGGCATGTTATCTGCGAGGGTGTTCCAGCGGTGTGAGGAGTGGCTCTGGATGTGGAAGGTGCGAAATGATCCTCTCTGCCCTGCCACATGAAACGCAGCGGTAAGTAGTCTCGCCAGCGTATCCTCATTCTTGAGGGCCGCTTCTCCCGCCGCTGCGCCAATGGCCGGCGGTGAATATGACCGAATCTCAACGACTTGATCGCCGGTTCGCCCCCCGTCGCACAAAACCGCAATGCGTGTCCAGAAAATGACAGGGAGTTCAACGCCAGTGCTGTCAAACTTCGCCCTCTGCACTGACATCTGGCAACTCTCCTGCCAAAGTCGACGCCCAGAACCCCGCGGAAGCCGCGCCCCCCTGGGCGTCGCTACGAACGCGGGTTATCGCCCGCGCTGCAACGCTGTTACCTCCGCACCCCAGCTCGGGCCCGTCGGCGCAATGAGCTGCGCTCGCATCCGCATTCTATTATTCGGGGGGCGCAGTGCCAAGACTATTATGGCAGGGGGCTCCAACTCATCCTTCTCGAACTTGCGTGTTCCTAGACGGAGGTCTGGCGGCCCTCGCGATCCCCCGCGAAGTCGGACGCGCTGGGGGCCGGGCCCTCTTGGCCGAGCCCGCGCGCTCGCTGGGCGCTGCGAGGCCGGCGCCAGAGACGATGCTCTAGCCGGCAGCTCGTCGCCCAGAGGCAAAAGGAATGGGGGGCGGTGAAGCATTGCCAATTGGGTCTGTCTTCGCCCCTGGAAAACTCTCTGCGGGCCGCGCGTCGCTAAACCCTGGCGAAGCGCCGCTGGCTGTTGGATGCTCTGACTCGAAGTGCCCGGGAGAGTCGCAACTGCCGTGTGATCACGATGTGGCGCTTTTTGCTGACTGCGGCGTCGACGCCTTAGCCTCGCGCGCGTCGCGACCGCGCCCCTTTTGGGCAGAAACAGAGGTCGCGGCGGAAGATTCTACCGCAGCTTCGGGTTCGAGACCGACCCGCTGGCCGCAAAGAAAATAACGCCCGCAACTGATGAATTGCCTGCCGACCGCTGCTGGCCCGCAGCTTCGGGCGGAAAGTTCCCCTTCATTGCGTCGAAAGACTCGCGCGACTGAAGCTCGCGAGCGCCAGATGGCATCGAGCTGAGAAAATGGACTGTCGCTGGCCATTGGAACGCGCAGCTTGTCCGACTCGGAGGCCCTGGTCAAGCGCGACGGCTGGTCAAGCGCGACGGCTTGCCAGCTGTCGAGCCATTAGTATGAAAGTTCGGGCCCTTCCAAGGCTTCAGCGTGGGCTGCTCGGGACTGTCGGCAAACTGCGCGGGAACAGGCGGCTCGTCACTCAAGAAGTGCTTGCGTGTAACCTGGCCCGCGAAAACTAATGTCTTGCCATCTTTCCGGGGGGCGACCGAAGCCTCGGGCTGCTCCATTCGCCCAAGCCTCCGTGTGCCCCCTTGATCTTGGCCACTTCCACCTTGATCTCCTGGGGCCTTTCATCGTATAAAGGGTCGACCGTGGAGGCCGCCTGCAGCGTCTTGGGCGTCGGGGAGTGGAGCGGTGGCCTGCCGCTCTTGACCGATGAAGCCTTCGGCGTAGTTGGCGCCGGCGTGTCTGCGCCAGTGATGGGGGTCTTCGGCGCACTCGTCGGAGCAGGCGTTGCTGGACCAGGGGCTCCTGCTCCACCGCCACCCGAAAGAAAGAGGGCTCTCGGCGCCGCTGCCCGCGCCAGGCTGGAGGCCCTGATCCCCCGCTGGCGCTGGCGGTGGCGGGCCACTGGGCGGCGCCAGTGGCGGTGCGCCAGGCTGTTTGTCGAGCCCGTCGCAAGCCAGCGCCTGCCCCTGAGGCTGCATCTGCTGCCCTCGCAGCATGAACTGCATCTGGAAGTGCTGCTGGACGACCTGGCCTAGGATTCTCTCCGACTCGTTCTGTCGATTCGCCATGCCAGCCAACAGTCCTCCCAGCTCGCTCGTGGCATCTAGCTGCTGAGGATGCGCATGTTGGTTGTGCTGGAGCGGTAGCTGCTGCGCAGGCTGCTGCTGCAATCCGCCAAAACCACCAGGCTGCAACTGCTGAGGGCCGTCTGCGATTCGCTCTTCTTCTTGCATGTTTTCTCTGAGGCAGACCTGATACTGAGCAATATCGTTGTTGATGTCGGTCTCTGTCGACTCGAGCTGTCTGATTAGATTCTGGGTGTTCTTCAGCCTCTCGTGCGCACCATCGAGATTTGCCTGGTATTCATTGACCTGTTGCTGAAGAGGCATGGTGGACTGCACCATGCACTTGTGGACCGCTATCTTCTTGTCGCGCTGATCCGCCAACGCTGGCTCGTCGGCCCTTCGGGCCGCGAGAGCCAACATCGCCGAATCGCCCAACTGACGTCGCATCTACATTCGAATTCGATACTAATGCTGTTCTGGGCTGGATTCTGGCGGCGGTGTGTGACACTGTTCCTGATGAGAGTTTCGGTCATCGGGGGCACCTTGGCCACTTCTGTTCTCAGATCTTTGTCTGCAAATCTGGATCTGCTCGGGGGCCTCTAACGTGACTGATGACCACCCCTGCCACGACCCTCGTCGAACCCCCTGCCGCCGTGACTCTTGCCGCCGTATCCTTTCCCCCGAGCCAGTGGGGGCATCCCGTCGTGATGCCTATGACCGCAGAGACACTGAGCGTGATGTTCCACATCTCTTCCGCAACGTGGACACTGCCATGTCGGAACCCATCCACGCATGTCGATCGCGTTGCTAGCGTCAGGATCTGGAGCCGAATGAGGCGTCGCAGGCTCTATGTATGCCCTGTGGGGCCTGACAAGAGTCCTCGCCTCCGATCTGCTTTGCTGAGCCCTACGATGAGCAGCTCCCTCCTCCAGTCGCGCCGTGGCAACAGCGCGAGGACGGCAGCTATCGCAGGCCCGAGGCACGGCACGAACTGGCGTGCGCGACGGGGTTCGGCCGAGCAAAATCCCTGTGTTCAGGCCAAACCCTCTCCTCCTCTTCCTTTTCCTCCTCCTCCTCCTCCTCCTCCCTCCCTCCCCCCCTTCCTTTTCCTCCTCCTCCCTCCTCCCTCCTCCTCCTCCTCCTCCTCCTCCTCCTCCTCCTCCTCTCCTCCTCCTCCTCCTCCTCCTTCCTCTTCCCCTCCTCCTTGTTTTCCTCCTCCTCCTCCTCCTCCTCCTTCCCCTCCCCCTCCTCCTCCTCCTCCTCCTCCTCCTCCTCCTCCTCCTCGTCCTCCCCCCCCTGCTCCTCTTGCTCCTCCTCCTCTCCCCTGTCCCATTCCCTTCGCGCCCTCCCCCTTCCCCTCCCGTGTCCTGTGGTCTTCCGACGTCCGGCGGGGCGTCGAAGCCCGCGTCGGCGTACCAGCGGCGAAGTTCCTCCTGTCCTCCGTCCTCTGGCCCCGAGTCTCCGATGTGGCTCTCGCGCTGGAACCTGCGCTCGGCCGTCTCCGAGGGAAAGGGGGGAGCGAGAGAGGAATAATTAGGAGAGGGAGGCAGGGGACGGGAGGGATGGAGAAGTGGAGGCAGGCGGGGAAGCGGGGAGGAGGGAGGGAGGGAGGGAGGGAAGGAGGGAAGGGAAGGGAAGGGAGGGAGGGAGGGGGAGGAGGAAAAGGCGGAAGAGGACCGCCCGTCGAGAGGGGCGACGTGTGCGAGCGTGCCTGCCGGCGCGGCCGCTCAGACGTTTGTTGGGTGCGCGCCAGCGGCGGCAGCTGTACGTGCTGGGCCGCAGTGCCAGCCAGCCCCAACGTGGTGGCTGGGGAGGCCGCTCGCGCTTCAGAGTGGTACCGGAGGAGGTTGCAGGTGTGGTAGAGCATGGCCGGCACCACCGGGTCCACGCCGCGACCTCCGGCAGCAGCTCCTCGACGGCATCTCGGATGCTGTCCCACTCGATGGACGGAGAGGCGTCCTTCCAGTCCACGTCGACTGCCGCCATGGCGCCCGTGCTGGGCCACGGTCAGTGGCCATCTGTTCCTCGCTCTCTCGCCGTGCGCCAGGCGGGCACATATGTTCCTCCGTGCCGCCGCGAGGCCGAGGCGGCGGAGCACAGAGGGCCGTGTGCCGTGGCCCGCGTGGGGGGGCGCAGACGCTCCACCGAGAGCCGCGGCAGCCACTCAAGCAGGGGCTGACGTTGTCAGCTTCTCCCTCGCACCCCCATCTCAGGAGGGAAAAAAACACACAGACACAATGAATCGTCGATCTCCAAGAAGATATGGGAAAATGTGGGAATTGGGCGGGAAGACAAAAAACATAAAATATGGGAAAATATGGGGAATCTTTTTATTTGTGTGTATTTATTTGTGTGTCCCGGGGCCCCTTTCCCATCGGCAGCTCAGGCGGCGCTGGCCGGCGTGCATGCGGTGTGACGTCGGCCCTCCTCCCGCGAGCGTTCGGAGAGCTGCCCAGCAGCTTCTGGGCGCTGCGCGAGCCAGCCGGTGTCTGAGCACCCCCCACCGCTGCTCCAGGTCGCTCGGGACAGGTCGATGCGGCCACCATGCGCGCAGGCGGCGCCCGATGGTCCTGTGAAGCGCCTCCGGATGCAGGCTCTGGGTGGTCCCGCGCGCGTGGGCACGATGCACGCGTGCACGGCGCCCCGCAGCGGCAGCCAGGTGGAGTGCCTCCGTCGCCGTGGCACTGCCTGCAGCCAAGGCCTACCGGCGCCGCCGGCGCAGCCGCACGCTGGGGGCGCGTCGGCGCAGAGCTCGGGCCGTGAGCTGCGAGGCTCGTGTTGCAGACTGCCTGGCCTCCACGGCGAGCCTCTTCCTCGCCGCCCTCGCGGCGCGGAGAGCACCAGAGCCCCAGAGAGGCTTCGTGCGAGGCCGCAGCTGCCTGCATGACGTCCTTCGCCTCAGCGCACAGGGTTGGCGGCGCGCACAAGGGGGTAGGGGGAGGGGGAAGGCTTCTCAGAAGGAGGCTGCTTCTCAGAAGGCTCCAGCCCTACATTCATAGACATGGCTCGCGCCTTCTAAGCAGGGGTGCTGCTAAGAAGCCCTCCCCCCTCCCCGTACCCCTCTCTGCGCGTGGCCGACAAGAGCGCGCCGCCACCCTCGGATCCGCGGAAGAGCTGGCCGGGCGCAGGCCGTGCAAGTTGAGCTATGGCGTCGCCGCGGCCCTTCCGAGCTCCGCCTGAGCATGGATTCTCACGACGTTGGAGCGCCGCCGGATACACGTGGATCATCAGAGCGCTCTACGCGAATCCCACCAGCCCTTTAGGGCGGGAGTGGTTTATAACGTTTCCTCTTGCAACCCTATTCCCCTTCGGGGAGGGGCTTACCCCTCTCCCAGCCCCCTCGCCCTAGGTTTGCGCGAAGCGGCTAGAAAAATCCTGCTGGGCCTGGTCCGGCTCGACGAAGCAGTTCTTTTCTGCGTCATTCTCGTTGGAGTTGCCCAGGGCTGCCCCCTGTCGGGGGCGACATGGGCACTCGGCACAGCTCCTTTGGTGGAGGCACTGGCAGCTGCCATGGATTTGCCGCCAATGTCCCTGGCGGCGCGCCCCACGGCGACGGATCCCGTGATCGGGCCGGTCAAGGAGGGCGAGCTCGGTTCTGCACGGTTATCCGGTTGGTGCCTCATTTCGTCGCCATGCAGGCCCTCGCCGCGCTGCGCTTGATGTTCGGCACACGCTCGCTGGCCTCGCGCCGCAGTTAGCCGAGTTCAACATTGCCTCGAACATGAAATACCTCGGCTTCATGCTTGGCCCTTGCGCAGCCCTCATGGACAGCTGTCAGGCCACCTTCAACAAATACCAGCAGCTGGCGAGCACGCTGCGGGCAGTCTCAGCAGCTACGGCAGAAATCGAAAACTTGGTACAACTTCGCAGCGCTGTCGGTCCTCCTGTACCTCGCGCAGCTCCTGCTCCTCCCTGGGGAAAAAACAATCAGAGGAGAACTCGACCTATGACACGTCGTTCTGAAGGCGTCGCCAAACACTTCGCACTGGGGGGCTTGCTGAGCAAGAGGGTGTGGGTGACAGGGCCCACGCTGATGGCGCTGCTGCCTGCAACTCTGGCTGCATCTTGGAGGATATCTGATATCACTCTTCGTGGGTGGCAGGATCTCGTGGCAGCATGGTGGGAGCGATCATTCGAAGTCCTGCCAGCCTGCGCAGTGTTGGATGGGCTGCCGAAGTCCGGACCCAGCGCCAGTCGATTGCCCAGGTCCTGGTCGCAGTAACCGCAGATGCGGAGGAGGAACTCGGCCAGGGGTGATCAGGTCCGACGCAGACATCTGCAACTTCCTGCCGCGGGTGGAGCCCGTAGAGCGGGACAGCCTAGCAGCACGTATGACCACTTGTGCAGGGGAGGGGAGGTGGGCCAGCACCAAGCAAAGGCCAAATGCTGCCAAACGCGCCTGGGAACTCAGTACTTTCTGGACACGCGCGCCGCAGACCTGCAAGATGGCACGACGCACCGAAGTGCGAAAGGATCAGGTGCCCAAGCTGCAGCGGGCGCGCTTCTACGCTGAGTGCACGGATATCAGCGGGCACGTGGCCATGCCGCCCGACAAGATACCTTGGCTTGCGGACCAGCAGCAGAAGGCCATCGCCACGCCGGGGGCCTCGTTGGCAGACCTCCGGGTCTGGATGGAGCCAGGCGGTGCACCCACGGACAGCATGGAGGTCGAGGATCCCGACACGGGCTCCGTACACGCCCTACCAGCGAGGCCGCTGCCACCAGGCAGGGAATGCCTCGAGGATCCCCAGTTCGACGACTGTGACTGCACATGCTCAGAGGCGGTCTAGGCGTAAGCGACGAAGGACACTACCCTGACCGATCGCCAGATCAGGGAAGCCCTTCGGGCCATCCCCTGTAATCCCACCAGCCTCTGGGCGTAGGTGGTCTAGGGCGGCTCCTCTTCTAGCCCCCTTCTTCCCGTTCGGGGAGGGGCTAATCACTGCTCCTTATCCTTACTTCCTATGATTAAACACCCCCATCTCCCCACCTAGCCGGCCGATAGCAGCCCCGCCGTCCTAACTGTCAAGAAACACAACAAACTCACTTATTTTCTCGCCAACATGTCGTCGAATTGCGAAAGGTCTAGCAGGAACTGGACGGAGTGAGCATCGCTCGGGTAACCCCAAGCGGGTGGTCGCGTCCTACCCATCCCAAAACAATACAACGTCAACGTTTTCTCGTCAACGTGGACTTTCTTGTTGTCGACGCTGCGAACAATGTAGGAGGAATTGGACGCGGCGCGCATCGCGCGCGGACGCCTGGCAAACCCTACGCGGGACCCCTCATCCTACCTGTCAAAAACACTGCAACGTCGGCGTGTTTCTTGCCAACATGTATTTTCGCCTCGTCGGCGCTGCGAATCGCGTAGCGGGAATGGGAGGCGGCGCGCATCGCGCGGGGACGCCTGCTCGTCAACATGGTTTTTTTGTCGTCGACGCTGCGGCCCGTCGGGTTGAGGAGCTGGGCGGGCGGCGAATCAAAATGCCTCAAGCAAGTGCGGTTCGCCGCCGGCGCGCCCGCTGTCGTGTCCGAGCGCCTAGCCGCCCACGGTATAAGATGAGCGACAGGCGTCGTACGCGACGCACTTGCTTTTTATGTTGTGGGAGGGCGGGTGGGAGTGGACGGAACCCTCTGGCTCGTTCGAGCTGGCTAACTTGATTAACATACGCCCCCTCCCCCATGCGACCGGGGGCCAACCAAGCACCATGCCCACACCATGACCACCCGCGCCCCACCACCCTTGTCAAAACACAATACAAACCGCACTCAGCCTCCTCATTTGGAGCATGCGCGGCCAACCCGATGCGGCCCCCCCACCATCCCTGCAAAAAACAATGCGAAGTACACTTTGGGGCAAAGCCTTGAGTCATGTTCGTGAGGCCCGTGACCACTTCGTATTGTTTTTGACAAGGACGGCGGGGGTGTCAGCATATTCCCTGCTGTGCGCAGGGCTACCACCCCTGACAAAAACAACAACATGCACCTCGCGGCTAAATCTGGATCATGCGCGGCCATCCCGCGATCACTGCCAAGTGGTTTTTGACAGGGACGGCGGAGGTGGTGGCGCGTGGCCTGCTGTGCGCAGGCCGAGTAAAAACAATGATGGGCATCGGTGTTCGAGAAGGATGGCGGGGGCCGACGTGTCTCCCGATGTGTGCTGTCACGTGCGCAAGTGTACCTGACGCACTCTGCACGTGCCCCGAATTCGGCGCACCAGGCGCGGCTGGACTATGCGGCACACCTGGCGCAGTCGGAGCACGTGGCGCATCTGGCGCACCTGGCGTTCCTGGCCCGCTCGGGCCCCGGGGGTGCCTGGCGCGCGTGGCGCCCCTAGCACGCGTGTCGCACCTCGCCCAATTGTCGCGCACCTGGGGTCGGTTTTGGTTCCCAGTAGGTGCCCATCCAAAAACGACCGCTGAACATGCTCAGGCTGGGGTGTCACTTATGTGTAGGGAGGGCGGGTGGGAGTGAGCTAGACGGCT